AGTATGTGAGGGGAGAGGGTTGGACATGGAGAGGGCGAAGGGAGAGAGAGGAGCTGTAGTTGGTGCATGGGGGAGGGGCTCTAGTGAGTGCAGAGGTATTACGATCTGTAATGGATGCCTAGGAGCAGGGGCTGTAGTGAGTGCAATAGGTATAGGGGCTCTAGAGGGTGCCTGGGGTAGGGGCTGTAGTGGGTGCAAGGGGGGATGTGGAGCTGTAGTGGATGCATGGGGGTAGGGTATGTAGTAGATGCAGGGGGTAATAGGAGCTGTAGTGAGTACATGCATGTATAGGGTCTTTAGAGGGTGCCTGGGGGGCCAGTGTCTGTAGTGGGTTCAAGAAGGTAAGATCTCTAGAGGGTGTCTGGGCATAGGAACTGTAGTGGGTATAGTAATTCTAGTGAGTGCCTGGGAGTAGGAGTAGGGAGTAGTGGGTACATGAAGTTAGGGGCTGTAGTGGGTGCCAGAGGTAAAGGGGCTTTAGATGGCACATTTGGGGTTGCAGTGGGTGCGTATGGATACTAGGAACTATAGTGGGGGCATATGGGTAGGGCTGTAGTATGTGCCTGGGGGTAGAAGCTGTAGTGGGTGCGTGGGGGTAGGAGGGTTAATAGTAGTTGTAGTGCAGGGGTCTAGGGGGTTATAGGGGCTTTGGTTCGTAGGTGGATGGAGTGATAGGAGCTGTGATGGGGCAGTAATGGAGGAGATTACATACTTAAACCATTTTTAATGTTAAAAAAAAAGATAAAAATAATTTATGCCCCCCTCCCTGAGAAACTTTGACCTGAAATATCCCTCACTGCGTGTTCTGTTATGCCAGGGGAGTGGGACGGGGGTGCAAGCTACACAATCTAGAGATGCTGAATGCTGCCTGTAACAATGATCAGGCAGCTCTGTGACACATGATGTCACTTCCTGGAGAATGGGCTGCACAAAGCTGCCTGATCAGTGTTCCATGCAGCCTGCATGTTGGGTTCATTTCTTCCTCCTTTTGATAGGTACACTGAGAGGCAGCCTAGTGGGTCTTTGAGAAGGGCTGTCCCTCCATGTTGTATGCTGGGGCTGCCACTGCTTAACAAAGGGAGAATCTTTTCAGGTACAGATGCCTGCAGGTGGGGTGTGAGGACCCATTGCTGTGTGCAGGCTGGCTGGGGAATTTGTTGAACTCCCCAGCTGAGCCATTACAATACCGCACCATGGGCGGGCCCCCAAGATGTGAAATATGCCCTAGACATGACTAAACCTGGGCACCCCCATAATCTCAATTTGCCCCACCACTTCCTGTAAAGGCCACACCTTTTTTTCCTCTTTAAACTATAGTGCCAGGGAAGCAAAGCGGTTTTCCTAGCACTTAAGTTCCCTATAGTGCCCCCCTCAGCACTGAAAGGGTTAAAACCGTACCTGAATCCAGCACCGATGTCCCTTGGCGCTGGGTCAAGTTCCTCCTCTCCGCTTGCATTAGGCTTCCCCATAGGAAAGCATTGTTACAATTCTTTCCGATGGGGATTTAGCAGATGCCTGATGTCCTCATGCACAGCGTGAGGACGTCCAGCATCAGTTAGGCAACTTTTGGTCGCCTAACCACCCTGAAGTCCCTCTGGTGGCTGTCTGGTAGACAGTCACTAGAGGTGGAGTTAACCCCTCAAGGTTCTTCTGAGAAACTGCAATAATTACACTTGCAGGGTTAAAGAGATTGGGACACTGCACCCAGACCACTTCACTGAGCTGAAGTTGTCTGGGCTCCTATAGTGTCCCTTTAAGCACACACATTCACTGACAGACACACAGACGTCACTGACAGTCAGACACATTGGCAGATACACACAGTCACATACATGCACTCAATAACAAACACAGACTCACTGATTTGACACACACACATTCACTGACACTCATTCGTTGACAGACACAGACACACACTGACACTCATTGTCAGACACACTGATAGTCACATAATCAGAGACTATAACTGATTTGACACACACACTCAAACACACATGCATTAGCAGACACACACATGCACTAACAGACACTCAGACACTCACAGACATACACACTCCCAGGCATGCACAGGCACACACACATATACACTCACTCAAAGACATAGACACATACACAGACACATACACACATTCACAGACACACATACACACTCAGACAAACATTTTTCCACCCAGCCTCCCTACCTGGAGAGCTGGCGTGGATCTGTCACTGGGGTCCAGTGGAGCTTGATGCGGGTGGCTTCCCATCCGAAGTGGTGAGGGAGCTGTGATCTCTCTGCTCTCTCGTGCCACGCAGGCTGTCTACTGATGCTGGGAGCCAGAATATGAGGTCATATTCCGGCTCCTACGGCATCAGTAAACGGTGCGTGAGGGAGCAGAGCAGAGAGATCACAGCTCCCTCGCCGCCTCGGATGGAAAGCCCTGGGGGGTGTCTCTATTAGCTGGCCAGCAGATCAGTTCTTGCCCTCCCCCCACTCACACGGGACACCTCAGTGGGCGTTTGTCCGCCCCCTAAATAGTGCCGCCCAAGGCAAATGCCTAGTTTGCTTTGGGCTAAATACACCCCTGGTGATATAGAAAAAAACATGAATAAATTGTCTATGTTATCGAATCCCACACACCTTTATAAGGTGTTAAGACACTGAGGCAAAGACCATTCTAACACTGCTTTTAACTTGTTTGGTCCCATCTGGAACCTCTTCACTGATATAACACAACACAAAAAGTGAATACTAGCCTGATCAAACAGTCGCTTCTTTAGTTTGCAGTACAAACTGTTCTTGAGAATCAGCCATAGGATGGTATGAAGATGATATGAACCAATATCTGGTGAGTGAATGAGGATATCATCTAGGTAGACAAAGGTGAAAGAATGCAGATATTCCCTCATGACATCATTGATAAAATCCTAAAATACTGGCGGTACATTACATAACCCAAAAGGCATGACATGGTATTTACAGTGACCACTGTGGTTATTAAAGGCGGTTTTCCACTCTTCACTCTTCTGAAATCTGACGAAGTTATATGCGCCTCTCAAATCTAATTTAGTGAACCATTTAGATCCTTTCAGGCCATCAAATAGCTTGGTGATGAGTTGAATATGATATAAATTTTTAAGGGTGATTTTGTTGAGACCTCTATAATTGATGCAGGGTCTCAAATCACCTCTTTCTTTGAGATAAAGAAGAAACCTGCACCAAAGGTTGAAAAGGATCCCTTTGTAATGCCTCCTGAGTATATTGCTTTTTTTCAATCTTTATTTATTGAGGTATTGATAGAGCATAAAAATTAAAAAATAATATGCATTGACAGTCAACAGTAGACATCAATATTCGGCAAGTGATGAAGCTGTCAGAGAAGTCATACCTCATTTTCTGTTTTTATAGAGTAACATGAAAATGAATGAACATGAGTTAGTTGGTTATTAGCACAGGATTAAGTATGAATGTGACAGGCCGAGGCTTATACTAATGCAACTAACAACAATGTCAATAATATGCAGGCAGACTACAAGCTAGGCAGGGTTAAAAGTGGATGATCATCAATACACAAAAAAACTGAGAGCAGAGAGACTTAGCTGAAATGGAAGCTAGTAGTATACAACTTATTGTCATATATAGGCTGCATTGTGTCATATAAGGCTTTCAGAACACAATATATTTAGGGTGAGATATATTTAGAGAGATGCTGTTATGGGCAAATACAAATATTACAAGTTTTAGAATGAAATGTTGTATTTCTTAAACTGTGTACTTTGTCTTTAAGAGATATTGCAAACTGACAAGGTGTTAGAAATGGAACACATTGTTTTTCATAGATGTTTCTTTAAGCAATAACCTCAGTGCATAATATGTTTGCGCCATTTTGTCCCAGACGAATTACAATAATGCATAAACAAGCTTCAAGGCTATACTACGACTCTTGCAGTACACAATATACTGTGGTAACCCCAAGTTAATGGAACTTCCCCAAATCCGGGAATCTCCCACGACTGTACACTTACGACTTAGTATAAACAACAGATAACCTATTCAGACTTTAAGATGCCATCTTGAACTAAGTCAGGAAAATTTCCATGACGTTTGCACCCTTTAGTTATGGCCTTGTATGTTTGCCAAGTTAAGGGAGGTCCTAAAATGAATAAAGTAAAAGAAGTGTTACTTTTTCATATTTGAACTACGATAACCTAAAATGAAGACACCTAAGGTATAAATAGGTGTACTTTTAAATGTTAAGACGGAGGAGAGACTTGGAGACAGACGCTGCTCCATCTTAAAATGACAGAGAGGCTGACATGATGACATGTTCAGAAGGGTATGTTAACCTATTAATGATATTTGCAAGCATGTAATTTAAATCTTATAAACTCTGCTATAATGGATTTTATATTTTTATATAATAAATATCCAAAAGACAATCTTGCTTCCAAGACAATCTTTATTTTATATTGTATTCTCAATTATTTATATATGTTAAATAGAGGATCTCTTACACTATATAAAATTATGGCTAAGATATCTGTATGGTTAGCCCTACTAAGTTCTATGCTTTAAGACATTATAGTGGTAAATAAGGGAACCACCAGCGGTTACAATGCTGAAGTACGTTATTATTTATTATGTTATTATGTATATAGCGCCAACAAATTCCACAGCACTTTATAGTGGGTGTACGAACAAACATGTAGTTGTAACCCGATAAGTTGGACACACAGGAACAGAGGGGTTGAGGGCCCTGCTCAATGCTAGAGGGAGTGGGGTAAGGTGACACAAAAGGTAAGGATAGTATCAGACTAATGACAGTTTTAAGAGAGGAATCAGTCGGTAGCTATTATCAGTTTAATTGATACGCTTTTAAGTGGGTTTTTAATGATTTTTTTGAAGGAGTGGAGACTGGGTGAGCATCTAACGGGGGAGGGAAGTGAGTTCCACAGGAACGGTGCAGCCCTTGAGAAGTCATAAAAAGGCGAGCATCAGAGGTAGGAGTACGGACAGAAGATAGACGCTATAACTCTTCGGTCAAGAACAATATATAGAAAATATGACAGCCACCTTAATTCTTCAGAAAGTATGTTACTGATTGAAAAGTTTGGTTTAGGTCTCCAAAAGAGCACATTCTCTGTGCTAGACTGATTAATAGTGTTTTATAGGAAAACAGGCCGTTATGGGCATAGTTCTAGGATTGGGCATTTAATGTACTGTAACAGAAAGCAGCTGTCTGTGGGTAGACATGAAGGTGCTATAACCACTTAGAGTACCTTCCTGATTCACTAATAAACCGTCCTGAGGAATGTTGTAGCTTATATTATGCTCACCGTAAGACTTTAAAAAGTGTGCGAGGAAAGAAAGTCTGAGCAAATCCTGTGTTTATCGTTGTATTTGTGTGTTTCTTTGTAAAAACAGAATTGCTTTCTCAAAAAAAAAAAAAAAAAACATACTTTCTACCCAACTTTCATAACTTTAAAACCATACATCACATTCACATAAAATTACATATTCACAATCAATCCATTCAGGGGAACAACATATTAAAAAATGGCATGAATCCGACCAGGGGTTCAAAAATTAGTAAAAGTATATTTTGGGCCCTGGCTGGCACATGGTTATCTGGCTCAAACAGGTTTTACAGAGCCCTCTATCCTGGAGACAATGGGGGAAAGTAATCCAATTATCCAGGGATAGAGGCATGGTTGCAAAAAGACATAAAACACTTTAAAATACATAAAGTCACCTTTTACACATAACACACAGACATTTCACATATCCCCAGATAGCTGGGATCTGAGCGCACAAAACTACCGAATAGCGCTCAGATCCTATTCACACAGTTCAATTGCCATGGAGCCGAAGTCTTTAACTACACGAATGGGCTCCATGGCATAGCTATCTGGGTTAACACATTTACATAAAGTCTGGTCCAGCTCTCATTCCATGGCAGCGAAACGGTGGAGGTCTTGTCCCAGTCCAATAGACCTCGGGCCCTGTACCATCTCACCCCAGTAATGAAAGATAGCCCAGTACCGTGACTCTGCTGGACTGCCAAAGTCGACGTCTTCTGCTAAGGCCTTCCACAACAGACCAGGGCTAGTGTAGTTCTCCCCCTCCGGCTGGATGCCCTCTGCCCTCCACGTCTCTGGCTGGACAGTGCACCACCACAGTGCCTGGTATGAGGCGTCAAGGCTCAGTTCCCTTTCCACGAGGTACTCAAGTTGTCTGACCTGCTGCCCTCCGGGTTGGTCTCCCAGAAGCGGCATCCGCCAGGCCATTTGTTCCTCCAACTGGTATGCGACACCAGGAAGGAGCTGCTGCCGTTGAGACTGGACTTCCTCCAGGGCATCGTACCATAGTTCTTGCCGGGCAATATCTCTCCATTCCAATTCACTCTCTTCCTCAGGTGTGCGTGTTGCCCAAGGATCCACGAACCCCATTTTACCAAATCTTTATGTAGACAGGGACGCTGTATAAACACTAGCGTCGCCTTCAATTTGTAAATCCACGAACGGTGTCTCTGAGCTGCTTTACCTCGCACTAGGACGCCATCCCACCGCTGCCACCAATGTAACGGATCACCTGGCACCCCGACTGGGTACCTCCGTTGAAGGATGCTCCTAGCGCTTCCTGAGGACTCCAAGCACTGCAGCAGACACCACAACCACCGAACCGGAGAAGCATATGAATGCTCTCAAGCATTTGAATGTTGTATACAGCCGAATAGGAAAAACCATGCGGATGGGTTAACACTCCTAGCAGTCAAACTGGAACAGCATACAATAAATCCTCCCCAATAATGAGACGACACTTCACTTTGAGGGTTAAGCAGGAACTCATGTGCTGGCACACCCAGCCTGGTTTTTATTACAGCCTTTCACATACAGGACCGCCCACAGGGAGGTATAAAACAACCAATCACATATCAGTTACATCCCACATATTCCCTCCCCTTATCCTGAGAGGAAACTCAATTACACATACAGTTAAAACATACTTTCTGCCCTCTGCAGCTTCTACTACAAGAGGCTGGGGCAGAGCCTGGTGGTCACCCAAATCCTCTTCTTCAAGCACAGTCCTCACATCTTCTAGTGCACCAGGTCACCTTCCATTGACAAGACATGGCCACCCCACTCACAGACAGCGACAAGAGGAAGCAGATCAGTGTGAGGGGCATTGCAGGGCTGGGAGATGTGTCTGAGGTCAGGAAGAGCTTTAACAGGCATCTCCACTTCACCCTGGTCAAGGATAGGAACGTGTCCACCCCAAGAGACTACTACTTCGCCCTGGCACACACTGTCAGGGACCACCTGGTGGGGAGATGGATCAGAACCCAGCAATATTACTACGAGAAGGACCCCAAGCGTATTTATTAGCTATCTTTGGAATTCTACATGGGTCGAACTCTTCAAAACACAATGCTGAATCTGGGCCTTCAACATGCCTGTGACGAAGCTGTCTATCAGCTTGGACTGGATATGGAAGAGCTAGAGGAGATAGAAGAGGATGCAGGCCTTGGTAACGGTGGATTGGGTCGTTTGGCAGCTTGCTTCCTTGATTCAATGGCCACTCTGGGCTTGGCTGCATATGGCTATGGAATCCGATATGAGTTTGGGATATTCAATCAAAGGATTATGAATGGCTGGCAGGTTGAGGAAGCAGATGACTGGCTGCGTTATGGTAACCCCTGGGAGAAAGCACGTCCGGAGTTCATGCTCCCTGTTCATTTCTATGGGCGAGTGGAGCAGACGGCCGAAGGCTCCAAATGGGTGGATACTCAGATTGTTCTTGCAATGCCTTATGACACTCCAGTTCCTGGATACAAAAACAACACTGTTAATACAATGAGGCTTTGGTCTGCCAAGGCACCAAATGATTTTAATCTTCAAGAATTTAATGTTGGTGATTATATAGAGGCCGTCTTGGACAGAAATCTGGCTGAAAATATCTCCCGAGTCCTATACCCCAATGACAATTTCTTTGAAGGTAAAGAGTTGCGTTTGAAGCAGGAGTACTTTGTTGTAGCTGCCACGCTTCAAGACATAATCAGGCGATTCAAGTCTTCCAAGTTTGGATGTCGGGATCCGGTTAGAACAGCTTTTGATTCATTCCCAGACAAGGTTGCCATCCAGCTGAATGACACACATCCTGCCCTTGCCATCCCAGAGCTCATGAGGATCCTGGTTGACATTGAGAAATTGGATTGGGACAAGGCCTGGGATGTAACTAAGCGGACCTGTGCATACACCAACCACACAGTGTTACCCGAAGCCCTGGAGCGCTGGCCTGTTCATCTCTTTGAGAAACTGCTCCCTCGCCACCTGCAGATTATCTACGCTATCAACCAAAAACACCTGGATGAAGTTGCAGCCTTGTATCCTGGTGACTTTGATCGTCTTAGAAGGATGTCCATTATTGAAGAAGGCGACTGTAAACGAATTAACATGGCTCATCTGTGTGTGATCGGGTCTCATGCTGTGAATGGAGTGGCCAGAATTCACTCAGAAATTGTTAAAAATACAGTCTTTAAAGATTTTTATGACTTGGAGTCCACTAAATTTCAGAACAAGACTAATGGTATCACTCCTAGAAGGTGGCTAATGTTGTGTAACCCTGGCCTGGCTGATATCATTGCAGAGAAAATTGGAGAGGATTTTGTGACTGACTTGAGCCAGCTGAAGAAATTGTTAGATTTTGTGGATGATGAGAGCTTTGTCCATGACATAGCTAAAGTTAAGCAGGAGAATAAGTTGAAGTTTTCTGCTTACCTGGAAGAGCAATACAAAGTGAAGATCAACCCTTCTTCCATGTTTGATGTTCAAGTCAAGAGAATCCATGAATACAAAAGGCAGCTATTAAACTGTTTACATATCATTGCAATCTATAACCGAATCAAGAAAGAGCCGTCCAAATCAGTTGTGCCAAGAACAATTATGATTGGAGGAAAGGCAGCCCCTGGTTATCACATGGCTAAAATGATCATCAAGCTGATCACCTCTGTTGGAAGTATTGTGAACAACGATCCCGTGGTAGGAGACAGACTGAAGGTCATCTTCTTGGAGAATTACCGGGTGTCCTTAGCAGAAAAAGTGATCCCAGCCTCCGATCTATCTCAGCAAATATCCACTGCAGGCACTGAGGCTTCTGGTACTGGGAACATGAAGTTTATGCTTAATGGGGCTCTCACCATTGGTACCATGGATGGAGCCAATGTGGAAATGGCAGAAGAAGCTGGAGAGGAAAATCTTTTCATCTTCGGCATGAGAGTGGAGGATGTTGAAGCACTTGATAAGAAAGGGTACAACGCAAAGAATTATTACGATCGCATACCTGAGCTGCGACAGGCAATTAATCAGATGAGGGATGGACACTTCTCTCCAAGAGAACCAGATCTGTTCAAAGATTTGGTCGATATGCTGATGAACCACGACAGGTTTAAGGTGTTTGCTGATTATGAGGCATATATAAAGTGCCAGGAGAAAGTGGACCAGTTGTACATGAACCCCAGGGAGTGGACCAAAAAAGTAATAAAGAATATTGCTTGCTCTGGGAAGTTTTCTAGCGACAGGACAATTAGTGAATATGCAACAGAGATCTGGGGAGTTGAACCATCAGCAGTGAAGATCCCACCACCAAACATACCCAGGGAATAATTCTGAGGGTGCATGTGCTCTATGTTCTCCACTGCTAGTTTGGTTGGTTCAGGATTAGTGTTTATCCACCAGTTGTGACTTTGAACCACTTTCCCATTAAAGCTTATTTTTGTCTCTGGGGAGGAAAAAAAATTAAAAAGATTGCTTTCATTGTGTTTTCCTAAACCAACTGTCCTTCAGTAACACATCATAAATCCAACCTCACAATATCTAGTATATCCAGAAGTGACCAAAGATTATAGTACACAGGTCTTCTGCATGGCAAGAAAATAATTATTCAGGGCCAATTAGTATTCTGGCTATTTCAAGTTACCCTCTACATCGCCATGTTCTTGGACTTTTATCCATAAAGAGCAGGTGTCTTTACAAATACACCTCACAGACGCAGTAGAACCGTGGCGTTCCTTATAAAGACCATTTAGATAACAACACAGTGTAGAGGATGTCTTCACCAACTGGGGGAAGTGTAAACAATTCTGACATCAGGCTACTAAACACTATAACTCTTCGGTCAAGAACAATATATAGAAAATATGACAGCCACCTTAATTCTTCAGAAAGTATGTTACTGATTGAAAAGTTTGGTTTAGGTCTCCAAAAGAGCACATTCTCTGTGCTAGACTGATTAATAGTGTTTTATAGGAAAACAGGCCGTTATGGGCATAGTTCTAGGATTGGGCATTTAATGTACTGTAACAGAAAGCAGCTGTCTGTGGGTAGACATGAAGGTGCTATAACCACTTAGAGTACCTTCCTGATTCACTAATAAACCGTCCTGAGGAATGTTGTAGCTTATATTATGCTCACCGTAAGACTTTAAAAAGTGTGCGAGGAAAGAAAGTCTGAGCAAATCCTGTGTTTATCGTTGTATTTGTGTGTTTCTTTGTAAAAACAGAATTGCTTTCTCAAAAAAACAAAACAAAACATACTTTCTACCCAACTTTCATAACTTTAAAACCATACATCACATTCACATAAAATTACATATTCACAATCAATCCATTCAGGGGAACAACATATTAAAAAATGGCATGAATCCGACCAGGGGTTCAAAAGTTAGTAAAAGTATATTTTGGGCCCTGGCTGGCACATGGTTATCTGGCTCAAACAGGTTTTACAGAGCCCTCTATCCTGGAGACAATGGGGAAAAGTAATCCAATTATCCAGGGATAGAGGCAGACTCCATTGAGCACATGGTTGCAAAAAGACATAAAACACTTTAAAATACATAAAGTCACCTTTTACACATAACACACAGACATTTCACATATCCCCAGATAGCTGGGATCTGAGCGCACAAAACTACCGAATAGCGCTCAGATCCTATTCACACAGTTCAATTGCCATGGAGCCGAAGTCTTTAACTACACGAATGGGCTCCATGGCATAGCTATCTGGGTTAACACATTTACATAAAGTCTGGTCCATAGTCCAAAGGCAGCAGGCGGGTAGCCAGGCTTCTCCAATGCCCAGTGGCGAGGCTGGTTCCGCCACACACTACAGCTCTCTGTAGTGGTTATTGTGCCAGGAGTTCTGTGGGACCCTCCCAGAGTAAATAGTCAAACTGTTTAAGAACAGTTTGAAAATTTACCTGGGGTCTGCCAGGATAGGGGCTGTAGTAGGGGATAGTGCCTCTAGTAATGTGTGTATGTGAGTAGGCAGTGTGTGTTTGTGTGTATGGGAGTCGCTGAGTGTGTGAGGGATGCAGGGTGGGTATGGGAGGCAGTGTGTGAGGGGTGCAGAGTGTGTGTGTATAGGAGGCAGTGCATGTGTGAGGGGTGCAGTATGTGTATGTGGGACAGTGTGTGTATGGGGGTGCAGTGAGAGCACTGTGTGTAGGAGGGGCAGTGTGTGTTTGTGTGAGTTGTGTAGTGTATGCATTGGAGTGTAGTGTGTATATGTGGGGTGCAGTGGGAGCATGTATGTATGTGTATGAGGGGAGTGAACTTTAGCCTGCAGCTCCTGAGGCTAGTGTTCACTCTTGCGAGAACGGAGCATTGCCATGGTATCCGCGGCAGCGCTCCGTGCTCGCGAGAGGTGACCCAGCGGAGCTGCAGGCTAGAGCCCAGGTCTCCTCTCTCTCCTGTGCCGGCTGCCCAGCAATGTGCCTGCGGACCTGTGATGGAGATCTATGATCTCCCCTCCGGTGATGAAGGCACTTAGCAGGGCTGGCGCTTGGATAGCACAAGCCCTGCAGGGTGGAGCATCGGCTCTCCAGGGGGAGGGCAATTGCCCTGTTGCCCCCCCTGCATCTGCCACTGGTTTGGACTCAAATCAGCCTGCTACATGTGGCCACCAGTTGAAAGAAACCAGAGGATCAGGGAGCAGAGATACTACCTGGAGGAAAAAGCAGAGCTGCCCAAAGAGTGCAGCACTGTGTGGATAATGCTGTAATTTGTGATTTGCAACATTATTAAACACAGTGCAAGCACTTAGAGCTTGGCTTTCATCTCTTGTATTGTATTTCATGAATTGTTCAGTACTCTGTATTATATGTGTAGACATGTGGAAAATAAAAGAAGTTACATATTTTTTTTAGATGTGCTTTTTACATCTCGAATGTCCTGTTGGCGACGCATATGATTAAATATTTTCAAAATACATTCAGAGAAAGACAATGAAAGGAGAATAAAACTTATTGAAGGAAAAAAAATATGTTTCTCTTTAATCAAAACCACTTTAATCTCTTTTCAACGGTGTCCTTAAAAAAGGAGGACAGCAAATAAAGGATGAGCTGAAAGTTGTATGATTTTAGAGAGCTTGATAATTTAATCAAGAATCTGCTAAAGCAGACCCAAAGTACAATCTGGTATGAAAGGGAATACTTTAATTTAATAACATATAATGACTGCTTAGTCCTTAAGTCTAGTCAATCATATTAGCTAGTAAAGTACATTATCATCTCTTATGAGTGAAAAAAATTATTTAATAGAATTATGTATGTAAATAAATGGGACAGTCTCAACACCAAAACCAGAGATGATGTCCTTGCACTGCCACATTTGAAAAAAAGTGCAGTTTTTAAAAAATAAATGTACAGTTTCCATTTTGCAGTGCCACACGCCCAGGGCCGGATTAACATAGGGGCTAACGGAGTTGCAGCTCCAGGGCCATGCCTATGAAATAGGCCCATTGATTTAAAAAATAAAATTAAAAAAATATATATACTTTTTTTAAACTACTACTCTTCATGTGCTCTTGCTTAAGTATAGAAACTTAAAGGACCCCTATAGTGCCAGGAAAACAAACTCGATTTCCTGGCACTATGTAGTCTTTAGATCCCCCCCCACCCTCATGGCCCCCCTTCCGCTGGGCTGAAGGAGTTAAAACCCCTTCAGCCACTTACCTTTCTTCAGCGCCGTGCTCCCTCGGCGCTGGGGAACTCTTCTCCTCCTGCCAACGTCAGTGCCAAATGCGCATTTGCGGCAAGAGCCGCGCTCATTCAAACCGCCCATAGGAAAGCATTACTCAATGCTTTCCTATGGACGTCAGCATCTTCTCACTGTGATTTTCACAGTGAGAATCGCAGAAGCGGCCTCTAGTAGCTGTCAGTGAGACAGCCACTAGAGGCTGGATTAACCCTCAGTGTAAACATAGCAGTTTCTCTGCTATGTTTTCAGCTGCAGGGTTAAAACTAGAGGGACCTGGCACCCAGACCATTTCATTGAGCTGAAGTGGTCTGGGTGTCTATAGTGGTCCTTTAAGAGGGAAGTAGGGGGGAAAAACTGGTGTGGACTGGCTGACAATGAAATTAGTTGAGGTACAGCTAATTAGTTGAGGTAAAGCTCTTGCTGCATCAGTCTCTCTAATACTGTGGCATGTTCCCTTTCTTCTACACTCACGGCATACACGTTTTCTCTGTCCCAGACTGTACAACAGGAGCTTCTGCATGTTAGTAAGAAGCCTAGGAGAGGAGTGGACCAGCGAGTGCACGGCGACAGTCCTTAGAAAGCATAGAGCTAGCACATCATTAGATGCATTTATGCCAGGCTCAGGGTGCTGTCTGCACACACAGTATGCCCTTGGTTGGTCATCCTGCATGATTGGCAGACAGGCTGACGTGCAATTACGCCAGACTGACCATCTAATTCTCCTTGCAGACATGCCACCTTTTTGGACAGGTTTGTCCCTTTGGGCAGTTCTGGTTACATGATTCACATCAGTGGCCCACACTCTTATCCTGCCCACCAAAATCTTGCTTCAGTGATGGTATGAAGATTAAAGCGAGAGATTATTATAGGGTATGTGTTTTCTGATAGCTGTATCCTGTGAGTTTCCCTCCAGCACCATCTCCACCAGATACATGACACTTGGGAGGAATGACTGTTTTTGTGTTTTCTGTCAATAAGATTCTTAGGCCCATCATAATTGTCAGCACCAGGCCCAATGGGTTCTTAATCCAGCCCTGCACACGCCTAGTGGTTGTCATTCAATCTGCCAATGGGGACTACAGAATAAAACAGAATCAGTAGGTGATACTATTCTATGTCGAGACTCCAGCGCCAAAATGCAAAGTATGCTGGCTTCAGAACCAGGTTGTGTAGCCAGCATTTCTCTGTTATAAACCACTGCTAGATTTAGTGCTTCTCTATAAGAAATGAATTGGCGGATTGTGCTGATTGCCATGTATGCATCATATGACTGCAATACTTCTCATTGAAAAGCATTTAAATAGACAAAAGCCATCAAGTTTGATGACTTCATAGTTAGAGGATCAGACTGCAGGTCGGAGTCTTTTTTAGCACTGGATTATAGTTACATTCCATTGCAAGTTAAAAGGATTGCAAGCTAAAAGAAACAATTGATAAAGAAACAAAGGGCACTAAAAAAAGTATATATATATTTTTTTATTACACTGTTTAAGTTTTAATAGAATTAAAGGGACACTATAGTCACCTGAACAACTTTAGCTTAATGAAGCAGTTTTGGTGTATAGAACATGCCCCTGCAGCCTCACTGCTCAACCCTCTGCCATTTAGGAGTTAAATCCCTTTGTTTATGAACCCTAGTCACACCTCCCTGCATGTGACTTGCACAGCCTTCCATAAACACTTCCTGTAAAGAGAGCCCTATTTAGGCTTTCTTTATTGCAAGTTCTGTTTAATTAAGATTTTCTTATCCCCTGCTATGTTAATAGCTTGCTAGACCCTACAAGAGCCTCGTGTATGTGATTAAAGTTCAATTTAGAGATTGAGATACAATTATTTAAGGTAAATTACATCTGTTTGAAAGTGAAACCAGTTTTTGTTTTTTCATGCAGGCTCTGTCAGTCATAGCCAGGGGAGGTGTGGCTAGGGCTGCATAAACAGAAACAAAGTGATTTAACTCCTAAATGACAGTGAATTGAGTCGTGAAATTGCAGGGGAATGATCTATACACTAAAACTGCTTTATTTAGCTAAAGTAATTTAGGTGAATATAGTGTTCCTTTAAATTGATATGTCTGCCAGTATCTTTACCCACCCTCTCTGGGAATAAGCTTAGTATTTACAGTGAAGGCATACTAATAGTTACTGAAAATTGTAGTTCAATTGTTTGTCTTCTGTTCCATAAAATCCGAGCAGATTCATTGTATATTAAATAAGAAAATTTGACATTTTCTCCATCTCAGTTATTCTCCTGGTATCATAGAGACCAGATGGTGTTCTAGAAAAAAACATCATTATAATGAAAAAAGTTTCTATGTTAAGCTAGCTAAGTAAATAAATGCTTACCAGAAATAGCTCTGGCCTCCATTCAAACATTAATAAGTCTACGCGTAAGATTAAAGGGACACCGTAGGCACTGTATCTGCTTCATCTCATTAAACTGGTTATAGTGTCTGGAGTCCTCTAGTACCATCATTTCTTTCAGCTTTAAACTTTTAATGTTTTAATGCTAAACAAGAGTCCCCGACAATCCATCCCCTG